GCTGGGGCTGGCGCAGCCTGGGGGCCCGGCGGGTGGGGCGGCTGGGGCCAGTGGGGGGAGGGAAGGTGGTCAGGGGAGCCAATAGCAGGGAATCTCCTCTGGTCCGGCAAATTCTCTTGTTCAGGACTGGTCAGAAATGCCAATGCTGGACCAGTAAGGTCCAACCTTTAGTATCGTGAGCTTTCATGGGAAAAACCCACTTCTTCAGATGAGCTTGAGTGGCTTTTGTTTTGGGAAAGAAGATGGTCAGTGTAGCCTATCAAGTTACTTTCCTATCATCTAATAATATGTTTGTGTTTAGATTAATTCGGTAATAGATAAAAGCTGTAATGCAAGAAATCTTCTAAAAGCTGCTCTCAGCTTTTCCGTAGGCCTTTTGTGTTAGCTTGACTGATGTCTGGGTTCAGATGTAATACACTAGGCCTTATGTTTCCCCAAGTTTGTGAAGGCCCGCTAATACTAACACAGCTGCACTCAACTCCTTGGGGGAGGGCTTCGCCATTAACACACCTGGGCTCAGGTCCATGGCCTTCCCTAGTTGGGGCCAAGACATGTTGGTATATAAGAGTCTAGCAAGAGCCCAAAATTTGTGGTCCTGCTGCTTGTACCTGCTGCTTGCCTTCCCCCACACAGCTAACCACAAGCCTATTGGTGCCATGCCCTCACTGGACTGTGTGGCAGTTCAGATGCCATTAGATGTAGAAGCAGCATGGGTGCAGTATAGCCCAGCCCTAGGCTGTCTGGTGAGTCGGGTTCCCCTGCAGTGCAGTGGCTCCTGCTCTAGAGTATCACAAGATGGTACAGCCTCTGAATGCACTTTCCAATGAGTGCCGTGTCTGCATTACAATCAATTAGAGGGCAGGGTTGCACTTAAATGATGGTCCAGGTCAAGTAATGGGTTATATTTTATCTTTTGTCCATGCTGCACCAGACTGTTTGCAGGATCTGCAGAAGTAGAGGTTAGCAGACTTCCATGGTTGAGACATGGTCTCACCTACATCGTTTCCCACGACTGAAAAAGGGGAACTTAGATCTGGACTTTTCACCCACATAGAATGGTAGGGAAAATACCCTCGGACTCAGTAGATGTATTATTAAATATAAGTCCCAAATAATTGGTTCAGGCTGAGTTCAATGATCAGGACACAGGTTGCGATAGATAACCACAAAGGCCCATGGCAACAAATTGACATATATGATAATAAGTTAAGAGCAATGATATATTGACCAATAGGAAAAGAACACTTCAGCATTAGAAACATCCCCTACTGAATATGCATCAAACAAGTTATCGTCAGCGTCACTTGATATAAAAGTGGAACCCCAGCCTAGGGGTGAGAGGGAGGAGAAGATGTAGTCCTTGGAAGGGCCAGAAGGATGGCCCCTGGTGAGGTGGAAGGTGAAGATAATGAGAAGGATGATGGGCTAACACCTAAGATTGTTCTAGAAGGAATGATGTAAGTATATGGTATGGAAATATGGATGTACATTCCCTGTCTTATGAAATTGGGGTGTTTGTGATTGTGCTAACCTTATTAATAAACTAAATATTGTAAATATCCAAGGGTTTCTGTAGTGTGAATGTTGCAACCGTGCACATCAGGGTTCCCAATTATAGTAAAATTGAATATTGGGCCTGATCCTGGGACAAAGAACCTGTCAACCCTAAGGTGGGTATTTAGAATTTAAACATAATCTTAGATCAGGCTACATCAGGTAAGAATAGAAAAGAAGGAAAAAAAGCCAAAAATTATTACAAGGCTGAAGTCTCCAAATGCCCACTTGAAATTCAGAAAAAATGTGATTTTCTTTTGTAGTGTTCATAAGGTGGGATGTTGTCCTTGGCACCCCTTTACCTAAAGCACTACTAGCCCCAACAAGACCCTACTACATCACAGGCACTTGACCTTATCAATACTATATCTTGATGGCTCCAAGCCCACCAGCTCTAATGATGAACATATTCTCAAGACCAGTGGTTCTCATACTTTTGCATTGCTCACCCATTCCACACAATACGTCGCTGTGTGCAATCTTCCTCCTTATAAACAAAAACTTTTTTTTTTACATATAACATTGTTATACATTCTGGAAGCAAAGCAAGGTTTGGTGGTGTAGTACGGTTACCAATTTTCCCAACCACATGGATTGGATACCATTTGTGGCAATGGTGTATGGTCTGTCCAATATGAAAATATGGTTTCCACTGTGGGCACTTCTGCTTTTGAAATATACAAGAGCCCTGTGAGGCTCTTTTACATTTCAAAATCAGAAGTGCCTCAGGGAACACTGGGTGAGCGGGGACTCAAGCAGTCCCCACTTGCCCCATGCTCTCTGCAGCATCCCCCTTCTTGCTGTCTCTATGGAGGCAGCAAGGCAGGGACAGAAGCTGGTGCTGGGAGGAGCTGGCTTAAAAGCTAGTTCCCCCAGCGC